AGGAACACCTTGTCAATCAAAACATCTTAATGAAAAACTCCAGATCCCCACTCCTACCTAAAGTAGAGGAAGGAAGCTGAAAGGCGGGAGACAGGAAGCCCTGCAGGGAATTACTGATGCTTCATCCATGATCTCCATCCATCGTTTTCTAAATAAGAGTTGGACCTAGGGTTGTCCAAGAGACCCAGTTAACACCGGCTGATGTCAGCCTCTCCACTCTGCCGTCTGAAGTTCGTACATTAAAATTTAGAAGAGATAATCTGTATAAAAGTAAATATTAGGAAAAGCTTTTCTAAATCCTCATAGAAATATCACATTTCAAGGGACTCTAAAGAGAGAGGAAGGAGGGGTTACATCTTCTAGGAACACATATTGCAGCCAAATTCAGCACGGGCTGCTTTGTCACACACTCTTTGCCCTGACCACCCACTGCATTACGTTTCGTACCAGCAGGTGGAGCTGCACCGTTTGTACTTCTATATACAATTTTCATGAGAACTCAGCATTTTAGTCTTGAGTAGTTCATCCTTTTTAACAGACTGTTTCCTCCCTTACCTATTTGGCCATTTAAAAACCCGTTACATCAAATAAACTTTTCGTTTTCTGCTTTCAGCTCAAGAGATGATTTACCTCTCAGGGTCAGTCACATCTCACTGCGCTAATCTAGCTCAAGTGGCTTATGAATAATTTAAAAAAAGGAAAAGAAGATTCTCTTTGTTCTATTTTATGACAAGATTGATTTGGTTTGAGTCTGGAATTACTTGAATGAGTGTTTCTGAAGGGTGAGTTTTCAGCAGCCAGCTCTCTAAGCAATGAGCAGCTCACCCAGGGGTTATTCACATTTCTATGGCTCCCGTTCTCCCCACGTAAGTGACTTACTGGGTAAGTACTGCGTTACTATCCCCTATGCGCTTTCAAAACTCCCAGATTATCAGAGGGGAGGTGCTCTGGAACACCAGCTCCTGATCTGGGTCCCCAGTTTGTCAAGAGAGTTTAGGGATCACCACGGGACGCGTGAACTCAAGCTTTCCTGCTTCCACTGAATTGATTTAACCCACAGAGTAAGTGCTACATGAGGAAACGTCTCCCTGGTCTGCATTTCAGCACTCGTAAATTCAGCACAGGTTACAGACTAGCAGGCAGCAAAGCACAGATCCGAACGCGACACCCTCTGGTCAGAGGGCCAGAAGCCTGCCGGTCGTGTACCATCTCCTTTCAGGAACTGCAGGTTGTCTGGACAGTGTTTCCTGAAGAGATGGTTTAACACAAGCACTAAAACCTGGAACAACCTCCAGCCACATCAGAATCAAGGCCTTCATTTCTCAGTCCAAGTGACTGATGGAGCAGGCCCGTGGATTTTGATTTGCCAGCGGATCAGGCTTCACAAGGACACTAAGAAAAAGACAGCATCCAGAAATGTTTAACTAAAGACTGGGAAGAGGCAGAGCAGGGATTTTTCAGCTCATCAGGTACACTGGACCAGAGTAATAACATTTATGTCAGGAAGCGGCACTGCCAGAAAAAAGCACATCCGACAGGATGCATGCAGATGCCATTGGGTATTACAGGATGTCTGGGCCCATCTCCGAGCATACAGGGAATTTTCATGTGACAGGGCCATTCAGAGCAGGGATGACAAGGGAATAGGCTAAGCATCCCTGTCCTAGAACAATGGAACCAAACCTATTGTTTATGCTTTCTAAACTTTCTCCAGCTCTTCTTCCCTTTCTCATACCACCTTAAAGCAGAAAAAACAACTTTTCACATATTTTAGGAGAATTATTACACACTGGAATGTAACCAGATCAAAAGTGACCAATTCAACTCGGATTCACTCAGCAGCCTGATGTTTAAAGAAGACTTTCTAAACATCATGTGAAGAAAACCAGAGCATCACTATGCAAAACCAGCCGACTGCCGTCAGAACCTGCTCAGGAGTCAGTTCTTTTAATCTTTCCCCTCAAATCTGAATCCATGGTTACACCTACACCAAACCCAGAGTTAATCATATACCACAGAGGATCCTGATTTGTTCCGGATCAAGTTACAAAGAACTCAACGAGGCTGACAGGTTTTATTATTCTTAATTTACTGCCACTTCCCAGAAACCAGATCGTTCTATTTTTAGCTCTTAGAGGGCATGATTCAATTAGTAATTTTAAGTATGTTTCAGAGCTGATTTAAAACACACTCCAAGGCACTTAATGGTCAAAACTTGGAATGCCCAACTCAGTTATTTTCTTCTCCTAGCAGCAGAACCTCAGATCTTTTAAAATACATTCTATTTACTCAGAAATTAAAGGCTATGAGGGGCACAAAACGCTAATTGAAAGTCTTAGGTACTCTCGCTACTGAGGTTCAGAGAAGTCAGCTCTCTTCCTTCACTTGACTCCTTCTCCCTAGCTCCATAAGGATTCCAACCCCATGGAAGTCCACTCTATTACCACGACACACTTGCCAAGCCAGGACCAGACAACTAACTCCTTTTTCCACCTCCACACCCACTCATTATTCAAATACGTCAGATCCATCCGTCTTGTCCACCTTCATCATCTCACGCGCTTCATGAACACGGGAAGTTTTACTCCATCCTCCTTTGCAAAGCCACCACTCCTCATCCCTTCACGTACCCAATGCACACCCAATGCCAAGCAGTCAGGAACTGCAAGGGCTACCACCAAGACCAAGTGGAGACCAACCGCTCTCACTTATTACTGTTCTCAGTTTCTGAAACCTTGCTGTAGAAATCTGCCAGCAGCTAGGTGAAACTGCTCTTATTGGAACCACATCCAAAATCTGGATTTTGATCGGGGTACTGATCCAAGCCCACCCTAAAGTTAAGGGCATTCAGAACTCAAAGACTTGGCCCAAAGTCAAAGACACAGGAGTTCAGTGCTTCTACTTCGCATACCCAGTTTTCTTCAGTTATCAACTGAATAATTAAGCATACAAAGACATTTAAATAACATAGATTAAAGCTTCCTATTTAACAGCAGCACTGTCTGTAACAAGGGCCATCCGTACCTGTTTGCATTTCGAAGAAACGGCACTACGCATCAGCCTCTTGACACAAGAGGCTACTGTCCCAGCAGGCAGTTCACTGCCAGCAAAGGCACTGTCAGCACAGGAGGGGAGCAGTTATTTAACACACAGGCAGACATTCAGGAAGGTAAGACAGATCACGCCTGCATCGATTTTATCACAGACTAGACAAAAATCACATAAGAAACATCCATTGGAATAAAAATATACACGAGTGGAAAAAAAAGCAGCGATACCATTTGGAACTGGAAAAGACTAAATTTGAATTCCCAGACTTAAGCATTTCCAGCAGTAAGCTACTTACCAGTGTTCTGCAGTCCAAAACCCCAAAGCTCAGTTAACGGCTGCTAGTTAAGTCACACCACCATCATATTTTCCATACTCACAGCTTTTAAAAACTTCTCCATTGAGGCTGAGAATTTCCATGTTTGGTATGAAACCAAACCATGGCACTGGAATTTCTCTTGGTTGATGTGAAATGAAGGAAAAATCCACTTTTGCATAGGTCAGAACAAGAGAAAAGGACTTCACCCACTAAAAATACAAAACCCTCAAGTGGACCGATACCAAGCTGTTACACCAATTGCCTTTCAACACCTCTTGTTTCAGGAATTTGCTTCTGTGGGTAGAAAATCCTTTTTTTTTACACATAATTCTGCCTTGTGGAGACTTTGTTCTTCCCGAGCATTAAAATGACAACCACTTACCCTTCTCAATACCTACAGTAAGGACAGCTAACTGCCAACAGAGCTTATTTGGCCAGATCCTCAAATGGCAAGAGCACAAGATGTTCCACTCAATTCTCTTCCTATTAAAGGACACAAAAGTTTTAAAAGACATTACTAAATATTTTGCTCCAATTTCCTCCTTTGCAAAGCCACCACTCATATGTTGTTCATGTGTTACATGCTTATACAAAACTGCTTTGTGGACTATACCACATGGATCACACCAGCTACTGGCATTTGGAGTTTGGGCTGAGGGCGCTACCAGCAGGTTCTGATTAAGAGCAGCTCCAGCAATCAAACCAGGAAATGTGCATCTTAACTAGTTAACGAACCGAGGGAGCAAAATCCCTGCAGCCACTAAGATCCAAGTGTTTGCCATTTGGGGCAGCATCCATTGCACATACGTTATCAGATGCTACTGGTGACGCTTTCCAGCAACAAGAATCATGAGGGTTTCACTTCATTCTGAAATTCTGGTTTTAGCTTTAAAACGAAACCCGCATCCCTTCACAGGAATACACACTAACACACTGCATACTCTGTCCAATTAACCACTGAAAACCCAAGCCATTTTAAAATACTGAACAATACGTTTTGGGGCAGCATACGCGTCTCTCCTGTGTTTATTTCATCGCTCAAATCCTGCCAGAGGCCGTTCTGTGGGTTGAACAATAAGCTGCAAAACAGATCAGTCAAAACTCATGTCAAACTGCTTTATTACATCTTAAATAACATTACATTTTAATATAGTATCTATCTTGCATCCAGCTTTCTTGAAGTACACTGACTTTAAAATTAAATACAAAAGGTGAAGAGGGATACAGGGTGTGGAGAAAGCTCTACAGAGTAGTTCATGAGAGAGAGTAAGAGGGAATTCATCTTTTATGCCAAATCCAGGCCTAACGCACAATTACAGCACATTTTTTTACAGAATGTTGCAGAAAAAACAAAATGGAGAAAAGCTACTACTGCTGCTAGGAAGGAGCATTTCTGGATACAGTGAGAAGATAGGAAAGTTTAACAGAACAATCTGCTGTCCAAACACTGCTGCTTTTAACATTTTATTTGAAAAGAAAGCCAGGAAAACCTGCTCATTACAAAAATGACTCTGATCAGATGCAAAGGACTCATCCTACAAGAGGAACTGGCTGTGAGGAACTGATTTAGAAAGAAGATGGTCTAGGTTCCCTCCTCCCACACCCCAGAATCTTTGACAGCGATTGTTTGAACAGGCTGTTTCTTTAAAAAAAAAAAGTGACTTATCACGCTACTCCAAAACGTGCATAGCTTTGTACTTGAGTTCTTCATAGATTTATGCACAGAGTAGCAACAATAAATGAATACAGCGACAATGGTTACAGTTTTTAAACAGGTTATTTCTTCAAAGAAAAAACATCTAAGGACTTAGTCCAATATGCACTTTTTAGCATTTCTACAGCATGCGATTCTAAGAGTAAACCCACCCAATATGGCAAACAATCAAAAAAGGTTTTTTTTTTGTTTAACTTAGAAAGTTCAAGATCATTATTTTCAAAACATTGATTTGTACATCATTTCATACACAAAGAATTGACTCAATACCCAAGTGTAGGATAGGTCTCTTTTGAAAACAGAGATTCCTGGTTGTTGAGACTTATAGGATAGTGTTAGGATATATAAACTGCCCTTTCAAGTGGACAAAACCAAAAGACTTAAAAAAAAAATCAGTGTGGTGAAAGGGGGGGAGCAGGGGGCAGGAGGGACCAAGGATTGCATTTGTTATCCATAAAAGGTGAAAGGATTCTTTAAACAAGCATTCATTACCTTTTACAGCATGTGCTTGGTTACCTTACTGCTTAACATTATCCTATATATGCCAAGTTTTGTGCAACAATTATCTGTGATACTAGAAAATAAAATAAAAAAAATTAGGGACTAAATTTACAGCGTTAACAACCCCCAGGTGCTCTGGGCTAGGACTCCCTTGTTTTGCTCAATTAAATACATAAAGAAATGTATTTAAAAAGGAAACTTGAAAAAAATCCTGCTACAAACATGACTTTAAAATTTGCAAGTGTGTGAGAATAAAGTCCTTAACTTCAACTTGGAAACTACAGTGAAAGCTAACTGTTTCACAATTATGCTCAAGTTTATTTTCTGGTCATGCTTCATGATAGTGTTTCATTTTTAAATTCTCAAGACAAAAAAAAAATGGTCCCAAAAGGAATGCACAATTTCATTTTGCTTACAACACAGAAATTCTTCTTGGAAAGGTAATTGTGCTCTTCATTTCAGCAACAGGAGACGGAAAAGATCTTGCCCTTTGAAGTTGGGGAGGATGGGGGTCCAAGTTAGTATGGTTGGATTGGACATGCTATCGTTTTTAATTTTCAACCGTTGGAAACTTCTTCCAGTCATGGAGTCCGCTGCTCTTCTGACACACAGAAAGATTTATTAAGAGTTGCACTTTGACAGACTGCAATCAAGTTTCAAGTTTTGCTCTCGCTACCCACCGATGCATTTAGCCATTATCTCACCATTTTCAAGAACGCCATTTATTTACCAACCCTGATTCAAAACACTGTACAGTCATCCCTACCAGGGAAATAAAATATGCCAAAAATAGTGCATCACAAAAATGTCATTGCATACATTAAACAAACAGCCTTCTAAAAAAAGCCAAACTATTTTTTTCCCTGAGTGACTTTCCCAATCTGAACTATAAGCTCACAGCATCAGTAAACCAGGACTGTTGGCTCCCGGAAAAAGCATTCTGAATACCAAGCAAGGACAGCTTTAACTGGATACCTACCTACTTCAGTTCCAGATCTTGAGGAAGCTGTCCCATGATCCTGTTGCCACTGCCATACCATCATCAGTCACACCTAAGCAACTGACACGGTTATCATGACCAGCAAGGACACCTGTAAATAAGAACAGGTAGCCACCACATTACTGTGATGATTTCCTATTTCAGTTCAAGTAACAGTGAAACACATCTGGATTAGTCAAGCTATACGTTCAAACGTCCTCAAACGTGGTTGGTATTTTTAAATGCTCTTGGGTTTATAAGCACAAATTTACATATAACTCTGGGAGTTCACAAAGGGGTGATTTGGTACATGAATTACTCCAAAATCTTCCATGTATATTCCCTGCATTATGACCTTTATGAGCTTCTCATGAGTTGTGAAATCACAGTCCCGAAAATTCTGCTGACAATGTCATAGCAATAAATACAGTATAACCATGAGAAGAGAAGACCTTATTGCTCCCTACAGCTACCTGAAAGGAGGGTACAGAGAGGTGGGGGTTGGTCTCTTCACCCAAGAGACAGAGGAAATGGCCTCAGGTTGCTCCAGGGGAGATTTAGCTTGGATTTCACAGAAAGAGCTGTCAGGCATTGGAATGGGCTGCCCAGGCAGGTGCTTGAGTCACCACCTCTGCAAATATTTAGGAGACATCTAGATGTGGTGCTCAGGGACGTGGGTTAGTGGTGGGCTTGGCAGTGTTGGGTTAATGGTTGGACTTGATCTTAAAGATCCTTTCCAATCTAAATTATTTTCTCTCATTAGTGATAAAAATCACTTAGATTTTACACATATTTTTAATGTGCAAAAAACCCAGAAGTTTGGCTGAATTGTTATGAACACTAAAGCATTTTTCATCCAATTTTATCTTAGTATGTTTACAACCACTTACAAGGCTTAAACTCCTACATACAATCTATTTGTCAATAAGGAGATCTGCTACAATTCAATTATAGTACCATTATAAAAAAAATTGAGACACCAAACAGAAATATTAAGGAAACCAATATTTCCCTCCATCTCCTTTAATTTAACAGTTTCAAGGAGTTGAAAAGAAAATTTAATTATGTTCAAGCTCTTTCCAGTCCACAGCATTGAAATAGAATCATAGAATCACAGAATGTTTTGGGTTGGAAGGGACCTTAAAGATCATCCAGTTCCAACCCCCCTGCCATGGGCAGGGACACCTTCCACTAGACCAGGCTGCTCGTCAATCAACATCAAGATATTCTTGATAGACTTAAAATCAGTCTTTCTACATCAATTACACTGCCCATTAGCCACCACTCATTCATATTTTGTGCTTTGCCCCTCCATTTACAATTCTCCAATACGGAATGTGAATCAAGTCAATTTTAGTTCTTACACAAACTAGTATGTTTAAAAATTATTATTTTAACTGTTAATTTGGTGTAAAAATGACTGCTTCATACACAAGGCTTCTCGATGTTTGACGAAGTAACATTCCCAATACTTTTTAAAAGCAGTAATGCTGTGTGAGTAACACCACTAATCTCTAGATCCTATTAAATCCATACAAGTGTCTAAGCCTCAGCATGGAATTGTGCACTTCTGCAGCAGAAGGCAGAGCATAAGCATTGCAGAGAATGATACAATCTTCACGGAGAGCTGCCCGTGGTTGGCG